TTATTTAGAAATAATGACCGGAAGTATGTTAGCGTTTTATGTTGAAACCTACCCCGGCCATTCATTAATTAATTTTGGAAAATTACAACCGAAAGTAAAAAGTAGCTGTCCAGAAACATTTCTCCTTTAACATGGGCACTGCGCCAGGTTTTATTTTCTGGATGGGTCCTAATTAAACAAGTTATTATCAATATAAGTTACAAGAAGCAAGGTACAGAAACAATACCTACATGCAAAGGTCACGCTAGACATGTTTGTTTACATTTTAACCAACAGAGTTTATAAAACGTTAATTATTGCTTCCTCCCATCATTTTCATTTCTCACATAATAATAAATTAAAATCACAATTTGATTTTCATTCATTTTTTCATTAATATTTATTCTTAACAAGCTGACCAGCATGTCCAGTAACATATTAATCAGAATCAGAAAAACTTTATTTATTCCCGAGGGGCAATTAAAAAAATAACAGCAGAGCAGCATGATGTTGGACATACAAACATTGAATAAATAGGCAATAAGGAAGTAATAAAGCAGCAAGAAGATGGATAAAACAGTACAATATGCAAAAAACACTGAGTAAGTGAATAAAGTGACTAAAGTGTCATCTGTATAAAAGTTAAATATATGGAGAGCCCAAGGAGAGTGTTTATCGGGGGATGGTCTTATCTTATTTGCTGGAGTTAAAGAGCAGAATGGCTTTGGGGACAAAGGTGGCTCTTCTCCTCTCAGTCTCACAGGAAATGCAGCGTAGACGTCGCCCAGAGGGGAGCCATTGAAATGCGGGGTGAAGAATGTGAGAGGGGTTGTGGAGGATTTTGGCTGCCTGTCTCGGGGCTTGTTGATAGAAATCCTGAGCAAGAGTTCTGACAGGCAGGCCAACGATTTTGGAACACACTGATGCAGTGTGCTGCAGTCTGTTCCTGTTCTGGAGGCTAAGAGAGTAGAACCAGCAAGTGATGGAGAAGGTCATGATGCTTTCCAGGAAGGCACAGTAAAAAGTCATCATGACTGAGGAGCTGACTCCAAAGGAGTTGAGCTTCCTAAGGAGATATAGCCATCGATGGCACTTCCTGAGAATCTCCTCTGTGTTAGCAGAGAATTTCAGGAGGTTGTTAAAGGTGGTTCCCAGATACTTGTATTCCTCCACTCCACTGGGTTCCCATACTGAAGCAGCCGGATCCCTCTGCCTCCTGCAAGAAGGTCACCACCATGTCTTTGGTTTTGCGCTCATTCAGTTCAAGTTTGGAGCTGTCACACCATTCTACAAACTCCTGTAGAATGAAATTGGGAGGAAAGTTTAGTAGTCAGGATGTGAGGCTGCAGAGTGTTGAATGCTGATGAAAAGTCAACAAACAGAAGCCTGGCGGAGGAGCCAGGGAGCTCCAGATGTTTGTGGATGGAGTCCAGGATGAAGAATGTTGCATCATCGGCACCTCTGCGTGCACAATAAGCAAACTGGAGTGGATCCATCAGGGGCTCAGTTGCTCTCACAATGTGCTCTTTTATGATCTTCTCCATGGCCTTCATCACCAAGGAGGTGAGCGCTACAGGACGAAGATCGTTAGGAGACTTTGGGTTGCTTCTTTTTGGGACAGGGATGACTGTGGAGTGTTTCCACAGCTGGGGGACGGTGTGACTGTCAAGTGAGTGTTGAAACAGAGTCTGGAACACACTTCCTAGCTGCTCTGCACAGTGCCTCAGAACTCTACTACTGATGTTGTCAGGGCCGGGTGAGCTCCTCTCCCTGGTCCTCCTGAGGGCTCTCACCACGTCCTCAGTCTGGAAGGTGAGTGCAGAGCTGCCAGGTTGGAGTGAGGATCTGGACTCCTCAAGCTGGGTGATATTGTCTGTCCCAAACCTGGTGTAGAAAGCGTTGAGGTCGTCAGGGAGGGAGGTGGGGTTGCTGCCCTCCACCTGGATGGTTCTGGAGGCGGTGACCACAGTATTCACAGCAGCCGTGGTTTTGAACCCCTGCCAGGCTGAGCGAAGGTCCCCTGTGGTAAATTTTTTTTCCACATTGTTTTTATATTTCAGTTTAGCAGCTTTAATGGCCCTCTTGACCTCCCTATTGACTTCTTTCTTATCCTGTGCAGAACCGGTGAAGAAAATGCTCTATTTTTTGTTAAGGATTTCCTTTAGCTCCTTGGTGATCCAAGGTTTGTTGTTGGGGTGGATGGCGACTTTTTTTGAGGGGATGATGCTGTCTACACAGGAGATGTATGACGATACTGTGTCGACTTGATGGTTGATGTCATCAGAGGAAGAAAGAAGGCTGACCCAGTCAGTGGCCTCAAAACATCCTTGTAGGGTGAGAATACTTTCCGCTGTCCACTGCTGGATGCTTTTGGTCACCTTTTTAATCCTCTTGATGACTGGGGTGTAAGCAGGGGCTAGCAGGATGGTGTGGTGGTCTGCTAAGCCAAGAGGGGGGAGGGAGAGGGCTTTAAATGCATCTGGTACCGAGCCAAAGCATTTGTCCAGAGTCTTCCCCTGCCGTGTGCTGCATGTAACATACTGTTGGAAACCTTTAAGCAACTTGTCAGGGGAGCAGTGGTTAAAATCACCCAGGATGAACTTGGAAGAGTCTGGTGATGATTGTTCCAATTTATCCAGACTGCTAATGAGGTTCTCTGTGGCTTTGGCAGCATCAGCTCTGGGGTGAATGTAGACCAAGATGATGAAAATCTGTGGGAATTCTCTGGGGAGATAATAGGGGTGCAGGGAAACAGCCAGAAGCTCGATATCTGTGGTGCACAACTTCTCCCTCACAGTGACTGTAGAGCACCAGCTGTTGTTTACATAGAGACATACACCGCCGCCATGTTGCTTCCCGGTGCATTCGTGGTCTCTGTCCAGGCAAAAAGGTGGTGAAAAGCCACCAATGTGCAGCGTGCTGTCATCGTCACTATTGTTTAACCATGACTCCTTGAAAGCCAGAACAGAAGCAGTTTGGTACTCATGCAAGTGGTTGACGCAAGCTTGCAGCTCGTCTAGCTTGTTACGGAGAGACCGGACATTAGCCAGGATAATGGAAGGGAGCGCTTGTTGTTTGTGTGTTTCCCTCTTGAGTCTTGCTCTCACACCACCCTTCTTTAATCCCCTCCTGTTCACCTTGTATTTATGAGGTGTCAAATGACCGTGTCCACTGAGTATTTCCTCGGGAAAGAAATCCGTAGGAACAGGGCGGAAAAGCTGTTTGGGTTGCCGCTGCAGATGAATGAGGAAGTCTCTGGTATAGCAGAGCCTTGGGGTCATGATCCAAAAATAAAGAAAAACACAGAAGGAGCGATAGAGTTGAAAAGTTAAAAAGTTAAAAAGTTTAAAAAGAGTTTGAGTTTAAAAAGTTTAAAAGAACGCCGTAACTGCTCAGCTGTCTGGCCGGTCGACCGCACGAGCAGCGACCAGGCCAAGGGATGTTACAATTAAACAATTAAACTTAAAGTAGGAACATTTTACCTGCTGCTTTCTGGTTCTGCTGCTAGCCTGTGACCAACAGACGCACTCCAAGCTGCTCTCCACAGCTCGCTAGTGTGCTGAAAGAGAGCTGCGCTGATCATGGTGTCCAAGTCTCAAACATTCTGATGCGAATCTTTTCTTGCTTGATCTTGTTTCTTCTGCGATGTTCTCTGTGCATAACTTTAAAAATGTCTGCACACCTGTATGCGTCGGGGTAATTCCAATCTGTCAGAACCAGGAACAGCCTTGAGATTTCGTCAAAATAAATGGTCAAGTACGGATAATATCTGGTTAACACGTTCCCTGCCTGATGTGACAGTGTGAGTGTCCTGTCACAGTGTCCCGATTGATCATGCGCCCTGGCTACTTGGCCAAGGGGATGTCCCTTTGGCTGACTGGTTAGAGCGTATGACTCTCATCCGGGAGTCTGGGGATCGAATCCCGCCCGGGCCCTCGTTTATCCACCTTGCCACACTACATTTAACTTTTTTGCCTTCTTGTGAAGATGGTATGGTATTCACACAACACGAGAGTACCATTTTCTGTAGGTTTATAAGATCACAACACAAAGCGACCAATCCTTCCATTGTTTATACACCTAGCAATCCCATCATGCAACACGCTACATCACCTGATATGTCATCTGACAAGGACCAATTGGAGTCATAAACTAGGCTTTTGCTCTACAACAAACTTTTGTACATGGCAAAATGGGCTTCAACACTTCCTGTTGCGGTTTGACAGTGAGATCTCTTCTTTTAATAGATAAATAAAAGCAGACTTGCTTGGCCCCATTGTCCGAAAGAGATGCCACGGATTGTGCCCAAGTGCCCCTGCAATGATAATCTGGTGTCGGTACAGGATCTGCTCGGGTGCAGGATCGGCTCGGGTTCCTTCGACTGCCGATGACGTCACATTACTGCAAATCTACTCGGCTTTCACACATACGTTTTGGAAAGAGATCAGCAGTTTTGTTAATAAGTTCTTGTTTGTTAACACCTAAATGTTTCTTTATAATTGTAATTTGTTAATAAAACACCATATTATCTTTGTTTTGTAAAGATTGTGAAACTGCATAAAACCAAAAAACAGAACAGTTCAAAAATGTCAGCCATATCTGTTTATATTAATGTGGACGTTGTCTGTATATTTCCTTAGTTGTTATCTAAATACATTCTTTGATTCAAAATATTGCTTGGTGTCTTTCAATAAAGTTCTTATATTTTATTTTGCCCCATTTCATCAACATCAAGAGCTTTTGAGGGTCACCGTTTATCATTTGCTTATATTTTACATTTCCTTTAGAAATTCAAACATATTTTCTCCAAAATGTGTTGATTTTTGGACTACAGGACTACAACCGCTGACCGCAAATTTGTTCTGACCAATCAAAATCATAACGTGATAACGTCACTTCCATAAGCTTCATGTTCAGCGAATCTACTTTGACGTCATCGGCAGTCGAAGGACCCCAAGCCGATCCTGCACCCGAGCAGATGTACCGACACCGGCCCACTCGGCATTGACCTCGGAGAGTGAGGAGACCCATCCAATATGGCGGCAAAGCTCTCCATCGCACAATGGGGCGTCTACGTATTCATTTCTATGGTCCACGTAAGGAGCAGTCGCACGATCAGGAAGTGATGTAATGCCGCTGTGCGCATGCTCAGTTTATCCAAAAAGAAAAACTAAACATGTCGCTTACTAGGTAAGTTCGTTGACAAGGCCTTGTCTGTTTATGATATTTAAAAAGCTATTGATTGGGACTCATAATAACGTTTAGGAAAATTACATATTCAGGCTTTATCGCCGAAGTTCACGATTTTATTTTAATTGGTTTAATCGAAGCTAGCGGCAGTAGCCGAGGCTATCGTTTAGCTCATCGGCTAAACATGTAGCATTAGCCATCTTGCAACACGCAGTCGTTGTCGCTGAGCAAGTTAGTTTTTCGGTCAATTTTATCTTAATTATGGCTTTCATTTGACCAAATTGTAATATTCAGTCATTTAAATTCATGATACTAGTATTTATATTGAAGCCCTGGGCTAGACGAGCATTGATGTTTCCCCGTGTTCTTCCCCCTTCCTGCTTGTATCTGTTGTGTAAAACGATAAAATAAAATAAATTAAAAGGCTGAAATCAAACTGTGCAGAATTTAAATTTCGTCTTTGGTCTTTTCAGCCGGGGAAACGCATCCTGGTTAATGAATGAGATTGAAAGAATGTTCTGACTGTGCAAAGGAAAAATAAGGCGATTCACTTCTAAAATACTGACTTCTTCATGCTTCCTGGGAGAACTCTTCACGGGAGAGCTATTCTCATGTGCTAAAATGTGCACACACTTTATTTAAGCACTTGAAGTGCTTTAAACTGCATGTGACATTTGTTGCAGGCTAGTAATTACTTTGAGATAAGTGGGGGAAAAAGATATTCATGATAATTATCTGTAAGGTGCAACAAAATGCTATGAATTCTTGTTGAAAGTGCTAGAATGGGATTTTTTATTTTTTTATTTTAGAAAATCGCATAATACATGATTGCATGATGTGCCCAATCACCAATACCCTTCTGGGATTCTGTCATAGTGCTTAGATCAGTCCTGTTATAAATATCTTATGTATGTTTATTCTGTTTTTTTCTTCTTCCTAACAACTTTACTTGGTTCTTTTTCCAACACGGCAAGAGTTGTTATACCCTGTTTTTGCTGAAGTTTCGGCTAATGCTGTCTCCTTCCTCAGAGCGTGCTGCTGTTGTCGGCGTCAAATACTTCTCCGTTTATCCTGTTATAAATATTTACTCAGTCTTTGATATTTCACATGTTTATTGCTGAAGCTAATTCACATTCAGTATTATTTGACTTGTCTGACATGAATTGTCAAATTAAAAACACATTTTGACAACAAGGAAGAAACTTGCTTCTTTAAAGTAAAAGCAATTAATAAAAATATACAGCATAATAAAGATGATTTATAAATATTCCCCTTGCATGGTGGCAGTGGCATCAAGCATCACCAGCAATCAGACAAAGGATAGAACGATGTTTGGAGTGGCCCTGTCGAAAGTCCAAATTGTTATTATTGGCATTACTAGTATGTAGTCTCTCAGTATCACAATAAGATTACAGTACATCAAATGTGGCAGTGTTAACTTCTGGTAAAGCATAAACATGACCAAATCGGCTCCTGTGTCCAAATAGCTCAATTATTCCCCTTTGTGTTTATATTTATTGTCATTAGTGGCTAATACTAGTTCACTTAACACTTTTTAATTTGTTCTTCTTTGTTCATGAAGCTTTTTACCAGCGCCAACACAGCTGTCTCAGGACCAGCTGGAGGCAGAGGAGAGGCTATGCGCCCAAAAGGCTTACTCCACCGCTCTGGTTGCGTCCCGTAGAGAGCCCCCTCCTTATGGACACAGGAAAGGCTGGGTACCCCGCGCATTGGAGGTAGTTCCCACCATTAAGGCTTTAGAAATGGAACAGAGCTTTTGGCTTCATAGCCACACTAAAAAAAATCTTGGTGTGGTTTTAAAGTTGGGTGTATCTATTTTTCCAGGACTTTGGAGATGGGGGGGCATTCCCAGAGATCCATGTGGCTCAGTTTCCTCTGGAGATGGGCAGGGGGAAGAGAACGTCCAATGCCCTGGCTGTGCAAGTGGATGCTGAAGGAAAAATCAAATATGATGCCATTGCCAGACAAGGACAGGGAAAGGACAAGGTATGTTTGGTTATCATTGCTTTTTTTGATGTGTTTATTTGTAGTTAAGTGGATTCAGACAAATCCCATAAACCTGATAATGATTAAACTTTTCACAATTAAGTTGGCTTATGTCTTATTAGAAGTTTTTATTACATACCTGCAATCTTGTTGCTTTAGGGTGAAAATTGTCATTTTTGAAGCCAAACAGTAGAGATGCACTGAAAGGAAAATTCTTGGCTGAAACCAAGGCCAAAAACCACAACACTGAAATAAATGATGTCAATATTTAGAACCATAGCATGGGAAGGACTGTACATTATGTAATATTGCATTTAATGAACCACGGCTGCAAATGTAATTCCTGGTGAAGTTATTACTTTACACCGGCAGATAGTGGAGATGTGTAACTGTAATCTGAGCAACACTTTTGGGTGTTTCTACTGATGTTTTCAGAGTTTATAGAGTTTAAACACTGCCCTTCGTACGGAGGTGAGGAGCGGAGCTCACAGAGGTCAAATCTATTAGATCTATTATTTTATGTTAGAGTGGAGAGACTTGCGATGCTGACAGGTCTGCTCATTGTTGACAAAGCTCTTTGTCTGATAATGGCTGACTCCGATTCTGGAGAGAAATATTCACCATCTGATGAAGAAATTCACTTGTTCAGCGAGGAAGAAGGTGACATTGCAGCTGTGCAGCAGCAAGACTCTGTGTGCTTCGTGAGAGTAAACACGCTTCACACTGGAGGTCGACCGATATTGGTTTTTCTATTACCGATACGAGGCAGTCATGGTCGGCCAATATTTTGGACCGATTTCATTGATTTTTGGTACCTTATCGGATTGCTTAATTATCACTATTAACAACTGTGGATGCACAAGATTCCAGAAACTAATCAGATTTTCAACACTGAATTTAATCAGCGGTTGAATCTTAATTTTGTGCGATGATTAGTGGTAAAATCAAAAATTATTACGAGATTAATAAAAAAAATACCAATAAACTCACCAAGTATTAAATATACAAAACAGGCAACAACAAATATCACTTGATAATGTTTCAAAGCATTTAATAAGCAGATGTTTTATAGGGATGTACACATTTACATGAAAGTAAAAATAAATGCACCTTTAGAATAGAAAGACAGATTTGACAGGAAATTGCAAACAGCGATGTAATAATAGCAACCTGCTCAAACACACCAGCAACATCTAAAGTTCGTTTAGTCTTTTTTACTCACTTTTTCAGAACATCTTCATGTAAAATATAAATGAAACCCTTTCGTGCTCTTGACTCAGCAGCAGCTGGACATGGGGAACCTTGAGGTTGTGTTTTTACCTTTTTCAGCTCCCAGCTCACCAGCCTCCTGCTAATATCAGCAGTTAGCTGAAAAAGGTTGAGAAACCCTGTAGAGCATCCATCTTCAGGTCAGTTTGCTGCTGCTGGAGTCTCCTCTCTTCTGTGCAGAGTGAAATTTTCCGACTCCCGAGCAGGAAATAAGACTGGAGCTGACATGTTAAGCTACAATTAGGGATGCAACGATACCACTTTTTACCAAACCGACACGATACCGATCCTTGGATCTGGGTTCTCGCCGATACCGATTACCAATACCGATACTTCTACCATACAAAAAAAGGCAATGATTTGGAATACAGATTTTATTTTCTTCTCTGCACAGGAAAAGACTGTGAGGTAGATAAAAAGTAAAATATATGAATGGAAGTCATCACAAAACTAAAATATTAGGTGAACAGAAATGACAAGTTACAGTGAAGCCATTTTCAAGCAACTGCATTGGTATCGGTTCCTGGTATCAGTTAACTTTTACCAATACCGATACTGGTATTGGCATCATATCGGTACCGATACCAGTATCAGTATCGGTGCATCCCTAGCTACAATATAGTTTAAGACCGTCTCTAAAGTTGACAACAAGCTAGCCTAGCATCAGCAGCATGCTGCCGGTTACCGGCGGTCCGTACGGCTCGTTTTTTTTTCTTTTACTCAGTTTTATTTCATATTTTGAAATAAAATTGATGATGATGATGATTTCATATTTTACTTTTAATTCACACCAAACACACAGCTGTAAGGTTTTGAACACCAAAGAGAAGCCTTACCTTTTACTTGGAGGAAAATACTCCCAGTGTTTTGGATTGGGGTCCTTCACCGGCTTCCAGCAGCAGCAGGCTGCCCACGGAGGTACCTGAATTTAAATCAGCTCTACTAAAGAGGCTTATCGGCCAATGCCAATGCTAAATATCGGCCCGATTAATCAACCAACCGATTAATCGATCGATTCCTACTTCACACACATGATCCTCTCCGTGTTCAGGATATGGTGGGTGTAGAGAGGATGGTAAAAACATCGCTAGTAGTGATAGACGTAGCGGAAATGTAAAAGAAGTGGGGAAAAAACGCGGAGCAAACGTGGTCGATGTGAAACTGAATGCAAAAAATGCATCTCATAATTGATATAAATATTCCAGCGTTTGTAATAAAACAGCATTACTAAAAGGGGAAAACTTTACTTTTGACATCGGTGCAAATTTACTGTTTTTATAAAGCAAAGAGCAAGTTGTTGCATGACGGATGAAACAACAACAGGGTTCAGCAAGTTTCACCTGACGGCCTGTTTTCGGTCGTGGTCTTCAGGTGATTTTGGTGTTTCGGCCAAAAACTGAAAATACTCTTTTGGGTCATATTCGGTGCAACGTTCACGTCAGTCTTATCGATCCAAAGAGTTTTGTTTTGAGTGGAGGGGTCTTCTGTCGAATTTCAGTCCCTCTTATGAGAATCAAGCAGAAAGGAGGAGATTCGCCTTTGACCAACCTCTGTCACGGATACAGCATGCTGAAGATGCTGCAGGAGTGTGGCACTTACTGCACATAAGATTTCTGTTTCAACATCTCGCTGTGGTTTTGAGCTTAAAGTTTGTCAAATCACACAAAATCTCCACTAAATAACACGGACTTTAGCAGATTCACCTCCTTTCAGCTTTTATCGATGTCTCCCAAGGCTTGTTGTGTTTTTTATTTGGAGTTGAGCTCAGAGTTTAACATAATAGACTGCAGCGCATTGTGCGCTCTGCTGAGAAGGTGATTGGCTGCAGCCTTCCATCTCTCCAGGACCTGTACATCTCCAGAACTCGGGGGCGTGCAGGTCGTATAGCAGCTGACCCATCGCACCCGGGTCACAGACTTTTTGAGCCGCTTCCCTCAGGCAGGAAGTTACGGTGAATCCAGACCAGAACCTCTCACCATAAGAACAGCTTCTTTCCATCTGCCGTTAGACTTGTGAACAGCTTATAAACACACAACCATGCTCGTCTTCTGTACTTGACATAACGTCACGTTATCGGCCACATTACCATTACCTGCCATTATTTTATAGCAAAGTTTTATGCTAGTTTATTTTTTATTCTACTTTATTCTATTTTATTCTATTTTTAATTATATTATTCATGTTATATGTAGCACGTTAGTACCGAAGCAAGTTCCTAGTTTGTGAATTGTTTGTTCACTGACAATGGCAATAAACCTTTTCTGGTTCTGATAAACAACAGTATTTTACTCTGTTAAAACCTAATATTGGCAACATAAATACTTTTTTTCTGGTAAGAAATGCCAGCATGCTACAGCACCGGACACTAAATCAAACACATGATGAGATGATTTCATGTTATTGTAACATTTCCGCAGCACTGAAGCAGAGTCAGAAGGACATTTCCGCTTAGCGGTTTCCTAACTTAGAGCCACAAACGGTTGAGGAAAAGTAGCATTTACCTGAAGGGAGTTTATTTTAGGTGTTGCCCTTTTCACACCTCCTGAGTTTGCAGGTACGTTATTGCCAATTAGTTTGTCATGACATCAGTGTTTCGTGAGATCAAATTGCAAGTATTAAGCCTGGTTTAGGGCTGTCGCGGTAACCGCAAAAATGAAATATCGCGATATGAAGAAGCCCACCGCGCTGCATCATGCGCCACCGCGATTACTGAACTTGGTTCAACTCAATGATGCATGTAGAGAAGGATGGCTGCACTGGTATCAAAACGAAACGTTACTTCGCTCCTTTGGGAGCACTTTGGTTTTCAGTACGTCAGCTGCTGCGCAGCCAGAGTCCTTGGCCGAGACGGAGCTGCCACCAGCGGCAAAAAAATAATAATAAACGCTCGAAGACCTGCTGAAGTCCCGGACAAACACTGCTTCTGCAGCCGTCCCGAAGAGAGTTTGAGCCGAGCTGGAGCTCACTCGCTACCTGCAGGAGGAATGCATCCACCCTAAAGAAAACCACCTGACATGGTGGAGCAACAACCGGGAGAGCGCACCATCCGAGAGGGTTTTCAGTGTTGCTGGAAATGTTGCCACCCCTCTCAGATCCTCTCTCAAACCGTATATGGTTAACATGCTGGTTTTCCTTGTAGGTAACAAGGACGTGACCGAGCTATAAATCACCGTCATTCGTGTGTGTGAAAGTGAAATGATAGTGCGCCCGCCCCCCGGCGCGCGCGCGCCCGGTACATGCAATTTTTTATGCTTGATTTTAAACAACTAAACAAAATGGGGACTTGTTTCTTATTTGTTAGATGCTGCAGCTAAATTTGCATTTAAAAGTTTAACCTTCTCCTGAAGTCGGACTCCGACTGTCGGAGAAACAAACGTTACTGCGATCTGCGTTGTTACTGCCCTTTGATCTGCATTCAGTAAAGTGTTATAAAAGAAGGCACGGCAATTTTTAACCTTTTTTAAATGTGTAAACATTATGTTTAGATAGTACTGCAATAAAAAAAGGACTGCAATAATATCGCATACCGCAATATTAAGCCACCCTGAATCACCGCAGGGGGAATTCCTCAACCGCGACAGCCCTAGCCTGGTTGATGCTTCTCCGTCAGCGCCGCAAGGGACAGACACGCACGGATTGACGGAAGCTTTTTGCTTTCATACTTCTCCGTCTCCTGGAGAGTGTTGCAAAGCAATTTCCCGGCAGGACAACAGAGGGCGTAGCGCTGTTCTGTGGTATCCTGTCATGTATCGGTCCAAGATCGTGTGTTTATATTGTGTTTTTTGTGTATATAAGAGACTTTTAACACGGACATATTTGTCTCTCATTCTCCCACCGCTTCATGCGCTCCCCACCTCTAAACCCACGTTTCCTGTCGTTTCCGTCCACAAATAAAACGCTTGCTGCGCATCTTTTCACTCCTCCAGTCACGGGAAGATGAAACGTTCATATTTTTAGTTTTTTTTGCGAGGTATTCTTTAAGCTTCTCCGTGTCTGCCGCTAGTTATCCTCGGCTCTCTTTGCAATGGCGGCGCTGTAAACAACAGCGGCGTCCTGACCAATCACAAGCTTGCGTAATCCGTCTCGTTCGACAGATGTTTAAAAAAGTGGGCTCGACTCCGTACGTACTTGCGTGTCTGCCGGAGCCCTACGCAAGGACGGATAATGGCGTTGCGTGTCTCCGCACTGACGCAGACGGAGAAGCATAAATCAGGCTTTAGTTGTGAGCTTTCCTTTGTAGTTTCTCAACACTGAATGTATTTTCCTTATTGCAGGTGATCTTCAGCAAGTACACCGACCTGCTTCCCAAAGAGATCCTTCATGAAGATGCACAAGGCCTGCAGAAGCCAGACGAGGAGGCTGTTCAAGAGGTACGATGTCATACAACATGTTAGAAGATGCAGCTCTGTTTTTCTATCCTTCATTTATTACTAATGCATTAATGCTACCTTTAAATAATCAAAGGCGAGCTTTAACTCAGCTGTTATTTCTTATTTGGAGTAATCCTTTTATTTGCAACCCAGAATCTTACAGGCTGTTTGAACCATTGAATCCTTTATCTGCAAGTTTTATTTCATCTCACTGGCAAACCGCTGCTGTGTCTTGTTTGTTTTATTCTCATTAGTAATCATGATAAACTGGATAAATGTTCCTGTTCCTCCTCTGTAGCTGACGGAGAAAACTCGTGCCGCCCTGGAGAAGCAAGTGTCTCAGAAGATCGCAGCTGCCATGCCCGTCAGAGCCGCAGACAAACAAGCTCCTGCCCAATACATCAGGTGTGTAGTGAAGCTGAACATGTGTGTGTGTGTGTGTGTGTTAGGAACAGTTCTATTGACATTAGTCATGTGCTATTGTTGTCTTCTTCAGATACACTCCTTCCCAGCAGGGGGTGGCTTTTAATTCAGGAGCCAAGCAGCGAGTTATCCGTATGGTGGAGATGCAGAAAGATCCGATGGAGCCTCCTCGTTTTAAGTAAGTCAGACGGTTTGAAATGGTGATCTACTTTTTGTTCTGTGTTGATTTAAGTTGGGCAGCAAATGTCGTCTAAAGGAAATATATTTCAGTTTGGAGTTGTCACAAAAAAACATTTAATGAGTGGGGAAGGAGCCTGAGTTGGTGTGTGAGGTTGAGAGGTTCCGACTAGATATAGTCGGACTCACCTCAACGCATGGCTCTGGTTCTGGAACCAGTTTCCCTGAGAGGGGTTGGACGTTCTACCACTCTGGAGTTGCTCCCACTGAGAGGCGCCGAGCAGAGGTGGGCATACTAGTTGCCCCCCATCTTGGTGCCTGTACGTTGGGGTTTACCCCGGTGAATGAGAGGGTAGCCTCCCTCCGCCTACGTGTGGGGGGACGGGTTCTGACTGTGGTCTGTGCTCATGCACCAAACTACAGTTCAGACTACCCACCCTTTTTGGCGACCTTGGAGGGGGTGCTGGAAAGCGCTCCTTCCGGTGACTCCCTCGTTCTGGTGGGGGACTTTAACGCGCACGTGGGCAACAACAGTGAGACCTGGAGAGGTGTGGTTGGGAGGAACGGCCCCCCCGATCTGAATTTGAGTTGTGTTTTGTTACTGGACTTCTGTGCCAGTCATGGATTGTCCATAATGAACACCATGATCAGACATAAAGGTGTCCATATGTGCTCCTGGCACCAGGATACCTTAGGCCGCAGCTCGATGATCGACTTTGTTGTTGTTTCATCTGACCTGCAGCCGCACGTCTTGGACACTCGGGTGAAGAGGGGGCGGAGCTGTCAACTGACCACCACCTGGTGGTGAGTTGGCTCAGATGGTGGGGGAGGATGCCGGTCAGACAAGACCGGCCCAAAAGTATCGCGAGGGTCTGCTGGGATTGTCTTCAATTCCCACCTCCAACAGAACTTCCAAAATGTTCCGGGGGAAGCGGGGGACATTGAGTCTGAATGGACCCTGTTCCGAGCCTCCATTGTTGAGGCGGCCGACCGGAGCTGTGGTCGCAGGATCGTCGGTGCCTGTCGTGATGGCAACCCCCGAACCCGCTGGTGGACACCGGCGGTTAGGGATGCTGTCAAGCTGAAGAAAGAGTCCTATCAGGTCTTTTTGGCCTGTGGCACTCCAGAGGAAGCTGACGGGTACCGGCAGTCCTAGCGGAACGCGGCTAGCATGTCTGTAGAAATTCACACAAGACTTTAAACTTGCTTCTTCAACTTTCCTGATCCAAGCCGTGTTTCTCTGTAGTTCTGCATCGTCTGGTTGACATCCCTGGATTGTTGAATTAACTTGAGTGTTTGTGCGTTTCAGAATCAATAAGAAGATTCCTCGAGGACCCCCTTCCCCTCCCGCCCCGGTCATGCACTCTCCAAGCAGGAAGGTCAGCTAAAACGTTGGAAGCCCTCTGGTTGTTGATGCTACATAGCAAATGAAGATGAGCTAGCTATGGCTGCTTCTGATGGAGTTTCTTACTTTGTTGTAGATGACGGTCAAAGAGCAGCAGGAGTGGAAGATTCCTCCGTGTATTTCCAACTGGAAGAACGCTAAGGTGAGCAGACTCACCGGGAACATTGGTTGGTTTAGTCTGAATACAGCTGTGGGTAGATTTCAAGTCCTTTGATGTGCTCTTGTTCAGGGTTACACCATCCCCCTTGATAAACGTTTGGCTGCAGATGGAAGAGGTCTTCAAACCGTCCACATTAATGAGAACTTTGCCAAGCTGGCCGAGGCGCTCTATATTGCCGACAGAAAGGTGAAAAGATGGATGTTCTAGTGCTTTCTGAGGTTTGAACGTGTGTTTGAACTCGAGTGCTGGCTGTGTGTTTAGGCTCGAGAGGCCGTGGAGATGCGAGCGCAGGTGGAGAAGAAGATGGCTCAGAAGGAGAAGGAGAAGAAGGAGGAGAAACTCCGCGAGCTGGCTCAAATGGCTCGAGACCAAAGGGCGGGGATAAAAAGCCACGGGGACAAAGGTTCGGGAGACCAGAACTTATTTCAGTGCTTTCTTGGTGGATGTGCTGATTAGTGAGCCAGCAGAGGAGGTTCTGTCATCGGTGCCAGTTCTGAATCTGGCAGAAGGGATTCACACCCTGCTAGTGTTGACATGACTGTGAGGGGTAGACATAACCATTCCATCTGCTCAAACATCTTTTATTTCTTCCTTCTTCACTTCCCTCTGTCTTCACATCTTCTGTTTTGCACTTTTCCACCTTTTTTAACTCTTTTTCATCTCTCCCTCCATTTTACACCCTTCTTCCTCCTCTGATCCCCCCCCCCCCCCCCCCCCCACCACCACCTCTCTCACACACACACAGCAGGTGGTGAGGACAGCGAGGCCAGGGAGCGTGACATGATCCGCCATGACAGAAGGAAAGAGCGGCAGCACGACAGGAACATTTCCAGGGCGGCGCCCGATAAGAGGTGCGGCACACTCATCCCCCCCCCCCCAAGTGTACTCCTCTTTCACAGACTCGCTGCTGAATCATTTATGGGAGCAGCACTAATACGGAATCAGAACAGCTTTGTATGCAAGGTGTTTGTTCAGAGAGAGAGGGTGTGCGCGTGCGGGTGGGGTTTGGGGGGGGGGGGGGGGCAGGACAAATGTAGAGGGTGAAATTCACAGGAGAGCTCATTGCAGTCACAGCTCCAGCTGTCAGAAGGGCAGAGACCTTGTTATCTGAAAATTACCTTTCACTCCACTTAGAGGTGGCGGTTTGCTGAGGGACACTGGTTACACACACACACACACACACACACACACACACACACACACACCAAATTAAATCTGCCAAACTATAGAATCACCAAGCTTGAAGGAGATTTGTTCAGCTTTTTACTTTGAATTGAACAGCTGAAAAATCTGGTTTCAGATGACTTTCCTCCAGAAACGGTTCAGATCTCATCGTAAAACAAACTGAAACAAACATTGAGGGACAATCTGAACTAGGTTTTTGTTTTGAATTCTGCTTTAAGAACAAGTCGGAACATGGAAATAAACCTGGAGTTTGTTTATTTATTTGCTAAATGTTTTGTTAATGAGGATATTTTCATTGTGAGGCTAAAGATCCGGTTCAGAACTTCAGTGGAGATGCAACCGTTCATTCGCTGATGACCAGAACTGATTAATATTTAGCATGACCAGGAACTCTTAACCAGGGTTCTTAGCGTGCTTGAAATCTGAAAATGTTTTAAACTGGTTTAAGTTCTTTAAACTTCAGCTGGAATTAGTTGTAAAACAATAAAAGTTCTACAGACACGGAAGGGAAAAATGTTTTGATATAATATCCTTTTCCTTTGTTATGTAACAAACGTCTTTTTCTTGGCAGATTTCTTTAATTTTACTTCCGTTCTGTAGTTTTTTTTTGACAGTTTGCCGTGTTTTCTTTTTCTGTTTCAGGTCAAAGCTGCAGAGAGATCAGGACAGAGACATCAGTGAGCTCATTGCTTTGGGCAAAGCCAACCCTCGTTTCACCAGCGAGGCTCAGTACGACCAGAGGCTCTTCAATCAGAGCAAGGTTGGCACACACACACACACACCAGGGTGTCCGCGGGGTTTTAAAAAGTATTAAAAAGTGGTAAATAAAAATAGTCAAATTTAAGGCCATTAAAAGTGTTAAATTTGGTCTCAGAGGTATTATTTTTTCCAAATTAGGTATTATTTTTTCAGACTATCAGATGTCGTATTCTGAACATCGACATAGAAATATATTCCGAATGAAATGTTTTGAACGATTATAAAAACAAAACAAGCCGATTATTTGCTCCTCCCACTTGCGCTGCCCGAGTTGCAAATGAAGCGCTCCTCCACAGTGTTGCCAACTTGGCGACTTTGACGCTATTTCCAACAGCTTCTCAGACCCCCTTCTTGACTTTTTAAATCTTAAAAGTACCTAGCGAACACCTCAGAAACATCTCTGGTAACCCTTAGCTACTTTCTGGATGACTGTCGTCGACGTTTCCTGCAGGTTAGCTAAACACTCCGCCTGCGCTCTGGACCGTTCTTCAGGGCATTAGGAAAGGGAATGATGTAGTGATGTGTCAGTCGCTAAAGACAGCTCTCAGAGCCGGCTCCTTGTTGGATTAACCAGAGTGAGTGACACACACACCGCACCTGCGGACAAACGAGCCGATAAAAACGGCTAAATGTGCGCGTGCTGCGCGCTAAACACACGTGCAGCTTGCTCCTGATTGCTGTGAGACCGGGTTGGGGTGTGGGGGTGCAGCTGTGGTTGGGACATTTATTACATTAACTGATGGACTTGTAAATAAATAGTTTAGAAATAAGGTAGAAATAAGTTCCTCACGCTGATAAATAATAACTAATCTCTCTGAGGACACGGTGCTAGTGCACTCTCCTACAGCACCTTGACATGACTCAATAAATGTTATGCAAAATTTAGTGAACAGCAATTTGCATGTATTTGTTATAAATGCCACTGTATAATTCTTGCTGTCAGTATTTGCAAGATATTGGTATTTGGGTCTGTACTGGTTAGACTTAAATGAGTTAAACCAAGGTCTATAGCCCTTGGGTCATAGACTATGAGCTATAAGTATATTGGTCTTTTTATACTGGGAATCAGGAGTTAATTTAGTGATCATCTTGTTTCTTGTTTATTTTTGCCCTGATTGTGCCCTGAGCAGTTTTATGACTGAATAAAAACAACAACAAAAATTCTACATAAATTGAAAAATCATCTTAAATAATCGAGATCTCAATTTCAGTCACAATAATCGTGATTATTGTTTTTGCCATAATCGAGCAGCCCTACTTTAGCATATCCGGTCACATAATGATGACGTCATATTCAGTGGTCGTTGTGCATCATTTCAGGCCCCGTGGTCAACTGTCTGAACCGCTGAACAGAAGTGCCTGGCTTATTTTCTAAGTAAAATAAATATGTCCAATACGTTGTCAACATCAGTGAGTCTCTAAGTCAAATCTTTTTGTATGTTATATGTGTTAAAATATGTGTAAATAGGTCGCTGATTAACCCTTTTTAATTTAGTGTTGTCATTGTTGTAAAAAAATTCTGAAGGTAGTGTAACGGAATCAAAGTGAAGTAACTAACCAAAGTTGTATTTTAATACACTGTTAGTAGTTCACTTTTTATAAACAGAAGAATAGGCTGTTTTTATCATCAGGGAGTTTAATTAAACACTCTGTATTGACTTTGAGACAAGAAAAGAGAGAGATATGAGATCGTTTGAGAATCTTTAATTTCTGAATTATAAATTCTAAACAATCTACCAGACTACTCTGTGATGGATGAGAATGGATTCGGATGTTGTGTTGGTGCGTGTGTGTGAGTGTGTGTGTCTGGTTCAGATTCTCTAGGATGACGTAATCGAATCTGGTCGTCGTTGTTATGACTAGATATCACGAGGCTTATAAAGTGATGACATGAGCCGCTATTTTGCCGTGTACGTACCCAGTGGGGTCTCCCAAGTAGATCAGGAATTGCCAGGTCTGGAAACCTCGGATGTACGGTGGAGCTGTCGGTGCAGCGATCACAACGTTTCAAAACCCGTCTGGAGGGTCGGCCTGGTACGATTCAGCAGCGTCAGCAGTTGCTCTTATTTTGAAAGGACGTCGTCTGGTTGTTAAACGACGAAAATCTCCCGTTTCACAGTTCTTAGTTTAAAGAAAACGCATCCGGCCAGGCTGCGCTTGTCTTTAGGATGATGGTGAATAGAACTGAAGTCAAAATGGAACTGACTTAACCCTTTGATGCATGAATTATGAAATCTTCAACCATGATTTTTTAAACAATTTTTTTCATTCATCTTTAGGTGTGAATGAAACAAATTTCATATTCACATATTTTTTGTAACATTTAATTTACACATAGTTTATTACATGTCCACCTCAGTGGGCAGCATGCATTCTGAACATGATATATGTTGGCTTGACTTACTGAAGTCCAAATGGAGGGGCTCAAATGCAATAAAGTCTTCAACAGCTGTGCTTAATAGCAAAAATAAATGAATAACAGTTTTGAGTACCTGTCCACTGTAGTGACCACTATGCATCAAAGGGTTAAAATGGCGTTGCCTTGTTTTATATCTCTGAATTGTTGATAAGTTTCAGTAAAGTAGATTGGACACTTGAAGTCAACACCAGATTCTCCTGCGGCAGCCGAAAGCTCTGATTGGTTGGAACAATGTGTCATGCATTTCTATGGAGATGAGGATCAGTATGTCTGCACCGTAGTCCTGGTTTCATTAAACATAATTCATGACATATTTATTTCACAGATCATTCACTTGATTATTGTTGATCAACATCTGTTTTGCTTAATAATTTTAATCACAAATAAAGTACTTTGATTAGGTAAAGCTTCTTCTTCTCCTTCGGACTCTTCTCCTGGAATGTAAACAGTCTGAGGAACAACCCGACCTTGGTTTTTCTACACGGTGTTATTGTGCCCAGGGGCCAGCTGTATGGAGTTGAAAACCATGAACTTCATAACCTTACAGTAGTAAAAAAAAGTATTAAAAAGTAGTAAATTTTACTTAAGGATTGCTGTATATACCCTGACACACACACACACACACACACACACACACACACACACACACACACACACACACACACACACACACACACACACACACACACACACACACACACACACACACACACACACACACACACACACACACACACACACGCGCGCACACACACGCGCACACACACACACACACAGTTTCAATTCGGACGTTGGAAGATTTTTGGTGATTTCATTTGGAAAACAAATCTTAATAAAGTTAATTGACAACAAGCGTTTGAATTCAGATCAGGTTATAATTCGTCCTGCTGTCTTAGAAGATGGATAAATGTGGAATTTGTTTGCAGTTTTTTCCCAAAAATCTGAAAACTCACATTTGGAAAGCAAAGCAAAGTTTTAAAAAGTTCCTGTTTCGATCAAACCCGTTTCTCCTGCTGTTACCCGTTTGTTTCAGGGGATGGATAGTGGTTTTGCTGGTGGTGAGGATGAGACGTACAACGTGTACGATCAGCCGTTCCACGGAGGCAGAGACATGGCCTCCAACATCTACAGGCCCAGCAAGAACATCGACAAAGACGCCTACGCCGATGACTTCGACTCGCTCATGAAAAACAACAGGTCCGTTCACCTTGATGCGTGCCTCGTCTCACTTGTGCTGAAACATTTCCACCATAATGTGACACCTGAGGAGAGTTGGCGATGAGGACTGATTGTTGTTTTTTTTGTCTTTCATCAGGTTTGCTCCAGACAAAGAGTTCTCAGGTGCGAACCACGGCCAGAGAAGAGACGGGCCGGTCCAGTTTGAGGAAGATCCCTTCGGTCTGGACAAGTTCTTGGAGCAGGCCAAACAGCACGGCGGCTCCAAGAGGCCTTCGACCAGCACCCGCTCCAAGGACGACTACCATGACAAGAAACGCAGGAAAGAGTGAGACCCCTTCAGAGGGAGATGACTTCTGTGGCTCAGCACAAGAGGGATTCATCGGTCCGTCGTTACGATTTAGTCAGTTTTCATTTCCCTTTTCTCATTAAATCTACGCTGAAGAGCTGTGAAGGAAATGAGAAACTGTTAGTGTGCTGTTGTGTACATTAAACTGATATTACAGCTAAGTCCTGTCATTCCTCTGCTCTAGCTGAATGTTGCTTTAGGTTTTTTTGTAAATACTTACCAAACCCAACCGCAGACTCAGCAGGAGCCGGTACTGCTTCATATTTACACTTTCCCCCTTTTCCCCTCGTCTTCGTAGCAACTTCTATTTAAAACCTTAGTTAGTTTGTCCAGCAGAGTCACAAACGAGTGGGAGTCATTCAGACGAGCTTTATAAATCTTGTATGTTGCAACCAGTGGAATAAATTTCATATAAAGTGTTTTTATTTTGTCTTATTTCCACATCCGGTCCATTTTCTCCTTGCTGCTGTTTCTCGTTCCAGGTGTTACCTGCTTAAATCTTCAACCACAGTAAAAGCACATTATCGGGTTCTAGTAGTTTCCCATCCTTTAAATCAGTTCCTGAGTAATTCAGCCTATTAACCGATGATTAAACACATTCAGAGAAGCCCATCAATCACAGCATGAGGAGTTGCTGCGATTAATGTGATAATTAGATCACTGTTTGTTTAATTAATCAGGGTTTATGCAGCCTGTCTGCTTTATTTTCCCCGTTTGTGTGTGTGTGTGTGGGGGGGGGGATCATGGAGTTGTTCCACAGCCCAGCAGACCCAGATGTCTGAGTAAAGTCATCTTTCAGTCACGCCTCAGCGGGGTTCCGGTGCTTGTTGCGCGATTTATGTTACCTGACTCGTGTCGAGTTTGATACTTTTATTAGCTGCAGAAATAATAGCTTCAAGCTTTGTAAACACACACTTGGTTCAGACAGGGCTGAGTTCAGTTCAATTCAAAAATACTTTATTAGTCCCAGAGGGAAATTGATTGCTGTAGTAGCTCAGAATAATAATAATAATAATCAAGTCATCAAGGAGTTGTTGTATATTACAATGGCTGTTGGCAGGAAGTAGCGGTCAGTGTTGCAGCCAAACTGAAGAAGCCTCTGACTGAAGACACTCTTCTGTTGTCGGACAGTCTTGTGAAGAGAATGCTCAGGGTTGTCCACCATTTTCTTGATTCTCTGGAGAATCCTTCTTTGCATCATCTCCTCCAGCGGTTCCACAGTCGTCCCCAGAACAGAACCAGCCTTTTTATTAGGTGTTGAGCCTTTTCAGGTCCCTGCTTCTGATGCTGCTACCCCAACAGACGATGGCTGAGTTCACTGCACAACACATAAAACCAACAGGGACAGAGGATAAAGTTGATCATTTTAGGTTTATTTTACTTTTTCAACGCTCTTCCTATTTTAATGTTTTACCAAATGATTTTTTTTACCTGCTCAATATTTGATGTAAAATGAACAAAGTATAATGAATTAAATAGAGAAATTAGCTATAAATCTACAGTATTAAAAGAAATTTGATAGGCATCAGTATTTCCCCCAAATACTGAATATGGTCAAGTTTTACAAATGGCTGCACATTAACTTGTCTCTTATGTAAAAACGCGTGGGGTTTTATTCATAAGGAAATTAAAATGCATCGTATTTTACTCAGCATCTGCATTTAATTTTTATCTGCACTGTCTTTTTGGTTATGCCTTGGATTAGTAAAACATCTCCTGCAGCCGCCTGGCTGAGCTAAACAAGAATAAAGATGCAGCAGCTCAAAGTCCAGTTAACACCCTAAATGATAAAATCACAGTGTGACCTTTAAATGTTCTGCTGAGCTGTGGTAGCCTGGAGGGAGCCATCGTCTTGAACACTGTTGCTAACCATGTAATCATTCTCCCTCTCCTGATAATAATACTTTCCTTGGCATTGGATGTGCTACTACTAGTTTACCCTATAAAAGGAACCAGGAACCATAGAATGTCTCCATAAGACTCAAAGAGCCCCTTCTGGTTCAGTGGGGCCCAGTAGGGCTCTGCTGTACTCATAGAATCTGGGGTTACAATACGTAACCAACGTTCTATGTCCTACAGTTCTGCCATACAGGCCAATCACTGATTGACAAAGGCGGAGCTTGATGTAGTCAATGCCACACTGGTTCAAAAACCACTAAGTAGCGAACTACACTGCTTTCATCTAACTGCATCTCTCCATGTGACTAGCTGCGGGCAATAGCTTTAACACCCGGTACAGCAGTCAAGTCAGGTTCCAGTCAGGATGGAAGCCATGGTGAAACCCTCCACCTCGGTAATGGGGGGGGGGGTAAGTGGAAATAGGAGCTTTGCCGGTTCAGGCAGGGAGCTGAGTCAGTACTCCATGGCGTCCGGAAACCAGGGAAACGCCGTTTCAGGGCCACGAGTGTGGCTGGAGCCATGTCGGCCCGCTATGTCGACCGGCTTAAGTGGCATTACGACGGAACTGGGAGGCCTGTGAGTCTAGTGGCTGCTGCCACAAGAGGCTGGAGTTCCTGGATGAGTGCTCTGATGGCTGGAAGAGACAACAAGGAGGAGCGCTAGAGAGCGTGGCTCGAGTCTCGACAGAGACCGAGCTGGCTGTCCGAGGCAAGTGTCCAAAGGAACTTGCTTGCACGGCTTGCATGCCCCTGGAGTAACCGGGGGCAAAAGTTTCCAGTGGCGCAAACTCTGAAGGAATAGTCTCGATGGCGGCGGTGGTGTCAGCAGCGTCCGTGAAGAAGTCCACAATGTGGGCCTTCTCCTCAGAAGGGAAGAGGGTGCAAAAGGAGCACAAGGCCTGCGGCGTGAGTGCAAGCCCGGCATGCTTGGTGCCCAGACAGACCTCACACTTGGAGTGCAGCTCACCAGGCAGAATGAACCTGGTGGCACAGACAGAAAGTGTCGCTGGACATCTTGAGTGGTGAGTAGGAGAGTTGTAGCTCTTGTAGTATAGATCTTGAAGAGATAAAAGGAAACATTCTATGGTTCCCGGCTTACCCCTTTTCGGGGGTAAGGCACCCGCCTACTAGGCAGGCGTACACTAAAAGCTCTTCAATGCTTGGATAATATCAGAGATGTATCCAATCAGTGATTGGCCTATAGGGCGGAGCTGTGTGACATAGAACTGAGTTTATTTCCGTCCTTTGCCTTTCATCATTAAGGGTTTTTAAACACAAATCTCACTGTATTCAAGCAAAGATGCTCTAAAGCAGGGGTGTCAAACTCATTTTAGCTCAGGGGCCACATTGAGGGAAATCTAGTCCCAAGTGGGCCGGACCGGTAAATAAATAAAAAAAAAACTTCAGATTGTTTTCTTTGTTTTAATACAATCAATATAAAACAAGGCTGGAGCCTGAGGACAGTGTAGTACAAGTACAACACCTGAAGTGTAATTGAAAAAAAAAAAAAAAGAAAAATCAATAAATAAATAAAAATTCCTTAGTGATTCAAAGAGCTTACAGATCACATGGCAAGATCAGTTCCATGCAGCACTTTAAGTATATTTGACTAATTTTACTTTAAATCGTTTAGCTTTCACCAGCACATCAATATCAGAAGTCACATCCTGAGTGGCGGCCAACTTCAGGATGGGATTCAAGTTCTTGTGTGAGCTTTGAGCGCAGCTTTGTTTATTTATACTCGTTACAGAGGAAACTTGCTCACAATGATAAGTTTATTTTCACTCTACATTGTAAAGTATGAAAATAAAGTTTTCACAACCATCTCGCGGGCTGGATTTAACCCGCTTGCGAGCCTCATCCGGCCCGCGGGCCGCATGTTTGACACCCTTGCTCTAAAGTGACCCAGCATCACACAAAACCACAGGTTACTTCAAAGAAAGTTCTTGCACCAGTCAGGAAAATTATTAAAAAATGCAGAAGTGAACTTAACCATCTCCAGCTTTCCACTTCAGCAGGTTTTCCGATCTTAGACCAGCAGAAAGAGGCGCAGCTCCGTCAGCTCCACCGCTGAACTGCTCAGGACAGCTTGATAATGGCTCTCCACTCAGTTCATCTGCTTTTAGAAATGTGAGCAGAGGAAGATGAATGAGATTCCTTATTCATGGAGGTAAAAGGAAATTGGTTCTTTGGCATCGCCTTTGTGTGCCGCTTGATGTAAACAGTGAACGTATTGTTTGGGCCACAATGGAATACTCAGGTTGCAGACAGAGGCCATGATGGATAGCTCCTTATCTCTGCTCCACCAGGAAACAAGCCCAGAAGTATTGGCCCTGACTGAATTGGTGCAGCACATGGTTGGGACTCAAAGGAGGTGTACAGTTCATTTTGGAGAGCATTTTCTACATTTAACCTTCATACTTGCGTTGTGGGGTGGAAGGGCGCTGCTCCCCACTGCTTCAGGTGAAAGTAATGGTCAAATAAAATGTTTGACTTTATTCAAGTATTGAAAAGACACATCTTTTTAGATTTTCTTAGAATATGGGTTAAATGAGCTCCCCTATGTGTTGGGTTGGTATCCAAGTGTGAGCTAATCAGAGGTGAGAGAGGTACCATTTGTTGTCTTTGTGAAAAACAACACTTGCTTTTTGTTGACACCTCCTCTTGTAACTTTTCCAAACTAGCTGAGTTTTTCCAGATTTTAATGCATGTGTGCAGATTTTTCCAACTAAACTTTTATTTTAAATGTTTGCTGTCATGGGAATAAAAGTTCAGCCAATAATGTTGTTTGATCTACACACATCACTTTTTTTTTTGGATGGATGGATGGGTGAGAGGGTGGATACGGTGGTGTTGGGGACCCCCTGTTGCTGATAGCCTCTGATGGTTTGATGGGGCAGGTTGCTGATGGTCCAGGAGGTGTTTATATCTGCTCGGGTGGGGGGGGGTCTCCTGTAACGAAATGAAATGACTGTTTTCCACCAAAAGTCATTTCCCCCCTCTCCTCTGACACAGAACTTGTCAGCATGAGATGTGGGCTCAAGTTCTCATGCATTTGCTCTAAACTGCTTCCTTTCCAGCTCAAGAGAAGAATGAAAAAAAGGACTCTCTCCTTTTAATAAATCAAGGAACTCAATTTTATAAAGCTAATCAAACAAAGTGTTAGTCAATAATAAGATGTGACCAATCTGTGAAATCAAAATATTAATGACTTTATTATAATCCTATAGAATATAACAAGTAAAATGACTTTAAATGTTTCCACCAGGACTGATCTCACGTAGCGTCAAGAGACGACACATTGCTTTCACTGATCCAATCAGAATCTGCCAGATCTGACGGAGGCGTGGTTTTGGTGGTGCCTGGTAAATCTGTCATCTTTTCATTCGACCATAAACCAAAACATCCGAAGTATAAAACTATGCCCACGTCATCTTTAACGCCAGTTCAAAGCGTTCTAGAGAAGTTGTCGGAGTGGCCAATCCGTAACTTTCCTCTTCAGCCAAAAGAACCAACGACAAGC